AAGGAGCCTGGCATGGTGGCACACCTGTAATCCCAGCACTTGGAGGCCAGCCTGGTTTACATAGTGAGATCTTGTCTTTAAAAAAGTGCTGAGGAGTTGGAACAGCACAAACACTGCTTACCTAGTAAGCACTAATTGAAGTTCTTGCTGAGGCTAAATCATGCAAAAGTAAGTAATGAGATCCCTAAACACTCAGTGCTGAGATTATTGAGCTTACTTGAAAGCAACACAAAATGCTTTCTTCTGCATTTCAAGGACAGGATTTAGGTTACTATTCCTCAAAAATCACTTATCAGAGCACACGCTCAGGTACGCACAATGCCCATGATGTGACACTGGGTTACATCCCCGGCGCACGCACACAGTGTTTAAATCAGTTGTTTCTCCAGCTCCAGCCTCAGAGTAAGAGACTTTTAAAGCACACAGTTGCAGGGCTCAGCAGAGCGCTGCCTCCAGTGTGCAAGGCCCTGGGTCGCCACCAGTGTCACCAGGCTGGGCCCAAGAGAATCCAGAAGCTGAAACAGGAATTTAATCCATCTTCTTGCAGCAGGTTCGCTGACTCCTACCACTCAAAAAGATTTTCCAGACTCATCCAAAAGAGATAGGTTTATTAGACAGAGACTTAGTAAGGAAGTGCGCATGCTCGAGAAAATGTGAGGAGTCACAGAATGGAACTAGGAACATTTATATTTTTCTTAAGAGGATGGAAATCCTGGGGGAAAGGGGTTCCCTCCTCAAAAAGGGGAGTCCTAGACCATTCTACAGTCACAGGTAGTTCTTGTTTTATGCATAGGTAATTTAGACATTCTCTGGATTCTCTCTACCTCCTTTATCTTAGAGTCAGACTCCTCTTTCTTTCTTTCTTTCTTTCTTTCTTTCTTTCTTTCTTTCTTTCTTTCTTTCTTTTGGTGGTACCGGGGATGGAACTCAGGACCTTGTGCTTGCCAAGTAAGCACTTATTCCTCTAAGCTATCTCCTGGCCCCTGTTTCTTACTTTTTAAACCTAGCCAATATATGGCTTTCAACGATGGGTCTGTTCAGGGAAGAGTCAGAATCTGTCCCCTGAAGAATGTTGCCCTGGGCCTTCCTTGGGGAACTTCATCTGAGTCCTAGAAGTTGCATTCTTATTAAAAGTGCAGTTTTTAGTTATGCTTTGTCACCTCTCTATCTTTTGTTTCTTCTATCTTACTTCACCAGCAATGCAAAACAACAACAACAACA